CTACCCCTAGAGACAACGAACAGGGCGACAGGTTGACACATTCGTACTAGCAATGGCCTAATATTTAACTCATTCAGGCTTCTCAAGGACAATTTTATGACTGCAGGGACAGTAACAGACAGCGGTTTAGTTGCCCGGCCGCAAGATCATAAAAACCCACCGAGGGGCATGTTTGACGACCACTTTTCGAGGTTAAACACACCATCTCGTAGTCGTTCATGTACAAACCACATCCTAATGACAAAATCCATCACTGAGCTTTGGCGATGTCCGCATTCCTGCCATTTTTACGCGGCTAGTCTTCTCCATAGTACTCTGCTCGATCCCGCCTGCTAACAATGTGCAAAGCATCCGCTAACAGGTTACAACGGGCCTTATACAACACATCCGTTAGACGTTTATTGTGAAGTTTCAAAAATTCCACTTGAGCGAATACCCTGCGTGCTAAATCGGCGTTTGAATATTCGGCTTTGCCTTATCTGTAGTCATCAGTTGCTTGCATACGTGTCGATTGGGGATCCGTAGGTGACGTCTGCCTTATGTGGTGGTATTTGCACCCTAAAACCACGAGGCAGATGCGCTGAACCAAAGCACCGTCTAGGTAGGGGTCTGCTACCCATAACGAGTGCCAACATTAGGGGGGTGTGGTGGCGCGCCAAGGCGCGGACTCGCGACGCGCCAGTTGGATCCTTGGTGTAAGATCTTAGACAGTGGGCGCTGCGTCAAGGGGATGCGGTGGAAAACCTACATGAGGGTTTACGCCACGCCAGCCATCTCGCCCTCTTCCTCCTCCGGTCTTTTCGACTCTGTCATGACACCTCACGCCGCATATATTTAGAGTTGCACACAGAACGGAGGCAATCTTCAGACGCCAGGTACTGAGGCTTGCCACGAGAGGAAACTTCTGGACTCTTGTAGCAGATTTGGTGCAGTTATGATGGAGAGGCTGAGAGACTACTCTCGGCGCTGGTAAGCAAGTACAGATCAACAGTCAAGTGGAACAATGCCAACTCCTAAGTCGCAACTCACTTAGCGCGACTCGGTCATACATTTAGGTTCAATGAGGTCTAAATTTTCACGAGAATTAACAACCGTGTGAGCAGGAAATTGTTTGAGTAAAGTTTTTCGACCATATTAAATCAGCCTGCGCAACGACCTCCAAACCCCATATTCAGTGCTGAGACTTTGCCTTGGCGGAGTCGCAAGCCTCGGACGAATACAGTTTTGGTGAATAATCATCGTCCTTTTTTTAAAAATAAGCATGTAACTGGGCCCACGCGTGCTTACAGGCCAGCCCCGAATAGGTAATTATAGATAGTGACTGGCGTTGTGCTAGGGGGACATAATCCGCCGGAACGATGATTGTGAACAGTGAACCTGTTCCATGTACATGCGCACTGCCGAGTAATACAATATTAATCATGACAGCGTCAGAAGTGGCACACTATTTTTATCATTGAATTTTTGGTGCAAGCGGGAAATCTAGTGAATTTTAAGATTTTAGCCTTCCCTGAAGGCCACCCGATAATCCTGTGTAATCACCCACCGTGTTCTATATTTACCGTGCGCTGACCTTCGGTCCTTTTCTCTGCGTGCAAATTTACCACGGAATGACTGATTTTCGAGTTGTTATCAGCCCTTTTATCACCCTTCATTACAAATACAGGGTGGCCCAGATGTAAACGAACCCTTTTTAAAATTAAAAATTGCTATTTACCGGAACAAAATTTCATTGCTCAAGATCACGTCAAATGTCCAAATTGTAAATCCTCACTTGTAATACAGATGCAAAATCGTCTAATGGTTGAACCTCTCGTATTTTTTCATATCCCCACTTAATATCATATCATGCCTTTAATATGCACTGTTTCAGATCATTGAGTGTCTCTGACTTATCGGTGGATAGCTTTATTTTGAGTATTTCCCAGAGAAAGACGTTTACAGGGCTGAGGTCAGTGAACGTTGCCGGCCATTTGACGACACCGCGGTGGCCTATCCACTTATACGGAAAATGTTTATCAGGCCACTTTCGAGCAGAGAGGCCACAATAAACAGAGGCGTCATGCTGCTTAAAGATCAAGCCAGCGTAATCCGCACTCTGGGACACTATAGGCCACAGCCTTTTATTTAACATCATAATATATGATTTACCTGCTGCCGTATTATCAAACAAGTGTGGGGAATTAATTCTGTACTGCAAATGTCACCCCGAACAGTGGTACTAGGCAAATTATGCTCTTATTTTATACCTCATGTTGATTTGAATCCGAACGATAGGCACAGTTATGTAGATTCATCAGAACATTTATTTCGAAACAGGCCTCGACGACCAAACAGATGCAGCTCAGAAGGTCAGGGAAGTCTTTGTATGCGGCCACACAAATTTCACAAAACTGATGACACCTGTATCCGTCATCTTCGTTGAGAATGTAGAATGTAAGTTGATATCGGACATGTTGCGTTGCAAGGACTGTCGCGATATGCCTAGTTATATAGAGGAACGTGTCTGGGATTTCAGAGAGCCGTCGACGTATGATGCTGACTTAAAATAGTTCGTAATGTTCTTGGCGCGCCAGGATTATCCGCGTCGACAGTATTGCTAGGATGTTCAAATTTTTGCACAAATTTGTATATTATCGGTTTTGACGAAGGCAGCGTATTGAATGGTTCATTCGAATTATTTGTAACACCTTCATAACTGTGGACCGATGAATTAAATTGTATAACAGCATGAACAGGTTCTTCATTCTCTAAAGTACGTTTTTTGTAGGCCGTCTCAAATAAAAGAGGGCAACAACAACCATAGAGGTTTAGTTACTGCGGAATGGCTGTTCTTAGAGTAGTTCTCAGGCCCTCTAGAACCCTGCAGTGCAAATATGTGGCTATAAGTGATAGAAACTGGTAACGTAGAACATGCACAGTAGTTTGCTAACATTTTGGAATATTGCAGTATGAACTGAGATGTGATCATTGTTCTCACTGAACATATGTCTCTAGAGGGCTCGGATAACTAATGTCAGTCTTTAAAACAAGCGTACGAACCATGGTTTTTTTTCCACAATGGGATGGGTTAATGTCCTATCTTGCTCTCTGTACACTTCCTCCGACCGTTTGTCTAGATGTTCAAGTTGAAGGCGAATTTGTCGTCGAAACTGCGAGCTTGTTTGTCTCATGACAGGTGAAAACATGCAAGTCTAAAGTAATTTTTCCAAAAAAATCGATATCAGGCTGCTCTTATTCATGGTTTTTCGTAGTTCTCACCACAGCGTCAACCAAGCAGACACACGGTCACAACACACGGACCCCAGTAAATCACCTCCATTAGGATATTTGAGTCTGTCAACTCTATGCGTAAATTTATGTAAACCCCTTTGTTTACGCCTACTTGCAGAGCCGTTTCTCCTACTAGGCGTGTTTTAAGACTCAAGAAAATGAACGATCATTTTACTTCAAAGCTTCCGTTTTTCCGGAAAATTGTCTGCTAATGTGACAGGAAAGTAAAGATTTCTCTTCTTGAAGAAGAAGACACGATCGCCGGGACAAGAGCTTTATTAGCCTGACGTTTCGGATTCCTGCCCGGCGATCGTGTCTGCTTCTTCAAGACTGCTTCCTGGGACTCGTCTCTTCGCTTCTATTGATTTCTCTTCTGTAGTGAGCGCACAAGATTACACCAGTGAGCGAAGTATTTACCTCTGTGGCTGATGTATAGATCGAAGTTGCACTTTTAGGTGTGAAGACAACAGAAGGCAGTACTTACGCGAAAAATCTTCGGACAAATGCCATCAGGACACATAAGAGAGATTTTTTTTTATCAAAGTAACCCTTTCTCCAACTGTTTGACTGTATGTTCTTAGTATAACTCCTCAGGATTAAGGGATGAGTTCAAGTTGAATGCAAATTTTTCGTCGACACTGCGAGCTCGTTTATCTCATGGTTAGTAGAAACATGGAAGTCCAAAGTAATTATTCCAGTAAATTTGACAGCGGTCTGCTACTATTCATGGTTTTACACAGCTCTCGTCAAATGTGCCGGTGTCAATCAAGCCGACACACGGCTACAGTGCACGGATCCCTGTAAAGCACCTCCATTTGGATTTTTGAGGCTGTAAATTTCGTGTGCAAGTTTGCGTAAACCCGTTAGCTCTCCTTTACTCACAGAACTGTTTCTCCTACGCAGCGTGTTTTTGATACCCAAGGAAATGAGTGGTCATCTTACATTGAGTTACTCGTCTTTCCGGAAAATTTTCTGCTGATTGGACAGGAAAGTAAACATTTCTCTTCTAGTGGAAGCGTCAAAGATCACACTGGTGACCGAAGTCATTGCTTCTGTGGCTGACCCATTTGCTACCAGCATTTAGTCGTACTTTAAAATAAAATGTTGCCGAAAGACCACCAGTAGTTGGTTCTGCATTGGTCTCTGAGATGTGATTTTGCACGTTTATTCACCCTGGCATTCATCTCTTTTTATTCATGCTTCATTTAAAAGCGATAATTCATTAGCCACTAGCTTTACATATACTGATTTAGTAGAACTGCTTTTTGTAGTTTAAAGTCCTTACCCTTCTGGTTAGTTCTGGTGTACAATGCATGCTTCGTCTGTATTCCGCGGCAACTTTCCCAATCTGGTTGGCAGTCAGACTTCAAAGTGCCAAAACCTACTAATACATATTTGCGATCTTTATACCCTACCAAACTTAGCGATTAATTTCATTATATTATGGAAAGTTTATTCAGCCCTGGGAATACGTTCGCGTGAGAAAATGTATTAGCACGATATCACACGCACACTAACGCGTTTTTCATTCGGTCGCTTTGGTTCAACTGTTTTTCGTCTTTCCACGTGCCGTTACATCAAACGCACTGAAAGGTCTACAAAACATAGGCTTTATTTCAGTAGTTCAGCAGGCATTCGTAAAATATCTGTTTCTCAGAGCTCCTGGACAGGTCATTGATAGTAAAAAATCGATAAAGTGACAGTCCCCGTAGGCAGGGAAGACTGTCTCAGTTCTCATCAGAGTGAAAGAAGTCCATTCCATCGGTACAGAGTTGCTTTGATCTCCTCTTGTGACGCACCTCTGCTGGAGGTAGAGAATGGCTGGCATCGAAAAGCGTCACCACAAGGGAGGCCATGTTTCCGCGAGCGGCCTTGAAATTGCGCTCTGACAATCCTGCGGAAGAGGTCGCGGTGCCGTACTTTTTAAACTTGTCGAAGACATTTGTTGCGGACTCTGCAATGCAGCGAAAGTGAAGGGCTGTTGGAGTGCATCAGGTGACGTCTTGACAGGGCTAACGTATGTAATCCCACCTGTGACGTATTCCTGGGAACTGTCTATCTACTTCATTTACGTGGAAATGTCTTGTTGGGTTACGGTTGCGGTAAAAAACTTACGATAATGACTGCGTTAATGACTGAGGTTAGTGTTGGATCTAAGGTCGATATAAAGTTGCATATGAAGATTGGTGAGAGGGTTGTAGCTGGAGATAGGGTTAACTTTGCCTGTCGCATATCGTCTTACCCACTCCAGTCACCATTAACAAATAACCACGAATTATCTGTCTCAGCAGTTTACGCTCTCTAAATACGCAACTTTTCAAATTGTGTGGTTTGATTCGGAACCTCGTTGGAGTGATAAATAGGTTGCCAAATCAGACCACCTCAATGTGCATTTATTCGTTTACTTTCTCCTGTAAAGCAGATCACATTGGTCCCACGAGTCGACTCTTATTGAAGAGACTAGCAGATCACCACCCGGCATGGCTGGAAAAAGGCCAAACTGGGAACATAAGCGGCGCCATTCTTGCGCATGTTGCCGATTCCGGACATCGGGTGGACCCCAGCGAAGCTTTTCGTGTGGTTTTGAAGATCCCATTGAGCTATCCTAAGCTACTAGGTCAGCACCTGTTAGCAACAGCAGAAACGACCGCCATCAGGTTACGAAAAACAATCTAATGTGCGCAAAAGAACCACGTTCAGGCTCCGCACCTGCCGTGGTCAAAAGATACTAACCGTGAAACTCTGCGCACCCTTTCGCATTCATCCTGCTCCCGGCATTGGCTGCTATTACCCCCATTCCTCCCCATTCTCACACCCGGCCTGTGTTCGGAGGCGAACTGTAGTCAATTTCTCCATCCACGTTTTTACTTCTACCCTCTTTCCTTATAAATGTACTGGCCGACAAGAATTTGTCGACAGCAAATGATCTTCCGTATACTGTCATGGGAATTTTCACGGCTCTAATAAATAGGTGTCAGAAATGCGGGTTTTCTTAACACCTTCCGCAGATTCCGCAGACTCCGATCGACCCCACCCATAAAATACCTCTTACATTCGCCCGCACTACAGGGGTTACTGTGCTCCTTTTTGGGCGGCGTCAAACACAATATTGTTGCCGAACTCATGTTAGTCAATGCAGGAATCTGATGAAGTACCCGGCGAAACGTTAATGCGAAGAACACATAAAATAAGTAAGAAAAAAGAGTAAACTTTGGCGGTCGACCGCCAAGGAGCTGCTAGACGTAAACATGATACTTGTCATGAGTGCTTGATTACTTTTTGAGCCATCCAACTGCTGCAGTTGGACAGCTCGGCAGGAGAGAATATCCGAGAAGTAAACTGGACTGCAAAATGAGCTTTTTTAATGAAATTGCGGAATACCGTTCTGTCTCCTAGCATTAACTGAATGTTAAACTACAGTTTTTCGCTCCGCACTCAGACGACCGACGGTGTCCACCGTGCGCTCCACAGCAAGATGAGGCAGGAAGACTGACTCGCGCATTAATTAGTTTATAGAGTAAGCAGACTTGCGTAGCACCTACCGCACTCTCTCCCCTCCCACCTAGGCCCGTTGTTAAGACATAGTCAAGAAGACTGGAAGCGGGAGAGGTCCCGCACGTAGGCGCACACCGCACTCCCTGATCCACGCAGCAAATGACCAGGATTTTAACCAGCAACAGCATCAGAACGGGTCAGAAAGACGATAAGGATGACTGGGCGAATATGCACACGATCTGTATACCAACCGGGAGCGCAAACGCCTCTGCTGGCCGTGGAACCAGGTGCCAGAGAAATGCCAGCGCGCACCAGGTTGTGAGGGCCATGGCTTACTGAATCGTGGAACAGTAGACGCTCACAATCCTTAGGCCATTGACATGGCATTTACTGTGTTGTTGGCACCCATAATAAAGTTCTACATTCTTTCCTTTGGACTGGCTTTTCGGTCATCACTACTCTCAGATAATACAGTAATCCTATTGGCTGAATTTGTAAGACACTGGAATAGGAAAATACGTGGACTTGATTCATATACCATGGCTACTAATTTGACTGAGGTAGTATGGCGACACTAGGGAAATCTCTAAGAATTTACTGCTAAAACACGTGCATTACGAGGGTCTTGTTTGTAGCTCGACTATTACATTTAAATAGGCATTCGAAGCAAATGAGGTTTTTTACGGTCAGACACGAAATTAGGACCCCGCACACCGTAATGTATGTGGCTTTGCGCAGAATTCCAGCATGGGTATCTCTTCCCGTGTCCTAAACTTAGCACTAATCCCTAACTCAAACCTTACCCATAACTTGTCTTTGGCCTTAACTGTAGCTCTGGTCCCTCTGGACTATAGAGAAATCCCACCCGTAATATAGTTGGGTACAGGTAGGTACAAATCTGCAGAGAGGTGGTGATGTGTCTTTTGTCCTCTGTGACCAGAAATTATTACTAATGTGTATTTGAAATTATTACTAATGTGTATTTGAAGCACAAACACCGTAGGGGAAGAAAGTGAAAAAAGGGGAACGTTAAAGAGCAAAAATGAGAGGAGAGAGGGGGAATCATGGAGCTAAAGGCTACCATGGCAATGTAAGATTAACCACGTGTTCCAATTGTTTACAAAGATCTGTTTTCACTCGTCGTATATAGGCCGCCTCCAGGTAACGCAATGTCCGAGTTGTTCGGGCCCGAACAAGTACTCGGAAGGAAGTTTTGGAGTCGACGGAGTGACCAGTATCATGTAGGTGTTTCGTAATGGAGGAACGCGGGATTTTATTTTCTTGTCTTAGGAGCCACTTGCGCAGGTGCTTAATAGACCTGGCTGCCAACTGCCTTTGCGTTCTCTTATGAAGCGACAGGACGCAGCTGAAGAGCTGTCGCGAAACGTTTTGGTACCAATAAATCCTTCCCTTCTTGCCTACTAATGTGTATCATGCTACGCAAACGAAATAAGTAGACACGATATATGAGTGTGTTTTATGAGGTTCTATACGATGTTTGACCGTAGAATTAAAGCCATGTCCGACATAAATATTTGCGCCTACAAATAAACTGCACCGTTCCAATCACGCCTGACAGTATCTAAGATCACATGGAAGCACCTTAAGGGCGCTAAGTGAAATAATTTGCCTGTTTATTTATAAGCCTGGACGTCATTTTTTCACAAACTGAGTATGAGAAAGGATGTTTATGCGCATGCTTTACATTAAATACTTTTAGATATAAATGACTATCAGAAAGTAACAGTAAAATGCATATCGCCTGAGTAGTCATTTTTAGATGATTCAGTTTTTACATATGGCCGCTAATACGCCCATTTACAAACCAGGATCTTAGCGCAAATGAAATATCTTTGGATTGTTTCGGAAGTTAACCAGTTCCAAAACTCAGTTTGAGCAATTCTTTCGAATCGAACTCATTAGATTTCAATAAATGGTTCCCAAATTAAGTTAAAAACTATAAATAGTTTTATATCAGGACAAAACGATACCAGTGATTTCAAGGCGCACTAAGTGTCCTAACTCATGAAATGTTATTCTCCCCCAAACTTCGACCATGGCATTTCAAGAGTTAAGCCACCTACTATATGACCACTCCTAAACAATCAATGCAGGCTGCATCACATGCCAGATAATTAGTTAACTCGGAAAGAAGACAGTAAATTTAAAATTTTCATGATTTCTGTTTGTTCAAATGTAAATGAAGTTTCGTTTCTCACGGTAGCTGGACTTTTGCAATTGTAGCGTACCTGAGTCCGTGAAGAAACCGGCCTCCGTTTCACTGCTCCCAACTGGTGATTCCCGCTGGACGTAAGGGACCCCGTCACCGTGGCACGCCTGCCCTAGCGGGGACAATTCAGGGAGTAGACACTCCGGTCTGTTGGGTGACAGCGGCGTCGAGGAGTGTGATGGGGGAGGCGGTTGTTGTGTCATTGCTGAGAAAGGGAGTTGTTGCTGACGCCTGTGGAGGCAGAGTGCTCGCGGTTTCATCCGTCGACACAGAAGACCGCCCAGTAGAATCAAACAAATTAGCAGCAGTGCGAGACATGTAAGAGTCAAGGAATTCGTCCCAGCTGCCACTGAAATGGACAAATCAGCAAATGTCAGTGAGACTAATGACAGTAGTGCGCTTAGTGCTCGGTGGACATCTTGAAATATTTCGGGTTGGCATCATTTACAGAATTGCGCACGTAGATAAATGAGTATGCAATGACAAGTATTACCAGTGTCATCAGCGAGCTGCAGTGAGAGCAGAAAATGGAATACAAAGGCGCGAACAATAAAGAAGCTTCGTTTAGCGTCTTGCAATGTCAAGGTCATTCACTTTCACCACTAACGGTTCCAGATGCGAAGACCTTGCTGCAGTCTGACCGACTGCAGCAGGCATGTATATTTATGCGTTCACAGCTGTCCGCACCCTCCAGGGCCCACCACCTCGCGGTCAATAAAAGCCTATTCGACCGTTGCGCACGATGGCCTCTACCGTGTGCTTGCGTGGAGATTTCTTCATAGTGAGGCAGACTTGTGAAGAATCTACCGCACTCTCACTCCGCCGACAACAAGACAATACCAAGACAAACGGAGAAGAACTCAAATGCGGTGGCCCAGAGAATAAGACAATCGTGTACGCGTACCACACACAATCCAACCCCAACGGCATGTGCCAGGCTTTCGCGAGGGTGACTCGGATCCCACATGCGTGAAAGCGTGGTAAATTCTAAGTAAACAGAAGCCACCGCAACCTGATTCTCATGTCTGAGAACGACCGTGTTATCTCGTGAGTTGGCGGTCATCCAAGGTGCAATTTTTCGCATTTTAAGCCGGATTTAGGCGAGTCATGTTTATTTTGTTGGCGATGACGCCGATGCGTCGTGGGAGCGGATTTTCCCCTTCTTCCATGTTCCAGTCGGCTGTCCGAGCCTGTCCAAAATCCGGTCTCGGGAATGGTTACAATGGCTTGCCCGAAGTGGAGCTTCAACAAAACGTGCCATAACGTCCTTCATGTGCAGAAATTAATTACGGTCTTCCAGGGAACCGGCGCTACCGTAAGTACGCCTCTTATGAGCCAATCTGACCGTCATTTTTTCCAGAGCATCTAGAGCGCAGACCGTTTTGAGGATTAGGTTAGCTAATCACAGAGCACCGAATACAGTACTTCTCACATAGAGCCGCACACACAATTTTGGCAGAAAACACTTAGACTTGCCTCCAAAAACCTTCAAATGCAGCTCTCCTCACAGTCCCCTCCCGTCTATCAAACATGACTTACCTATATCAGCCCAAGCTCAGAACACGTCAACGACCACTGCTGCCTACGACAACAAGTCCGCGTTCTGCACACAGCAGACCCATCAATTTCACGGCCCCTCTCTCTCTTTTATCCTGCTAATTCAGACAAGGTCGGATGCATGCGGGTTTGGGAGTACATCCACCAATCGAGCCGCAACAAATTGCTGACCCCTGTGTGACCCGGACAGTACATTTTCAGACCGAAGTTGGGTAAAAATTGGGAGATGGCACCCAATAAAATCCGCCCAACCAAAGCAGCCTGTCTTACGGGACAGGTGGTAATAGGGGCTTTACGGGTGGGGCCTTCGATTGCGTGGATAAATATAAATAATACTAAGAAGTTTTTTCACAAATGGCTTTTCGAACGATAAATTTTAACCTCATCACTATATGGCAACAAAAATTTACGCGGTGTCGGATTTACTTGAACAGGCAGATAATATGAAGTCGATCCAGCTCATATTCCCTGCTTAATTGCTTTTTTAAATAGAGGATTGAAAGCGGAATGCAGTTGGCTAAAGGAAACGTTCTACGTTGTGCTGTTCATGACCCTATGCCTTCATATCCTCGCTTTCAAAACTGCACGTTCAATAAGCACAGAGGACGTGATTGAAAACATCGCCGCACTTGACCCCGACGAGAGTTGTCATTCTGTGAAATTGCTTAGCTGACGACCCCGTCTGTCTAGGATTGTATGCTTTTAAAGTTTTCCGGCCCTCAGTAAAATGCCCTTATTTTATTCCTTTCAGCAGCCTGTGGACGAACATTCATGCAGTCCTCCGGCATATTCTCATCGGTACCGGAATTTTTTGGGTGCCATCTCCCAATTGTTACCCAAAGTTGCCTCGTTCGCCGACTCAGTTTTGCCAATGCGGGTGCGGACAAAAGAGAACAGTAGCATACTCCCGCAGGCCTTTTTGCCATGGCAAGGAACACCTACCCTCCATTGTGATGACTGTTGTGTCTGGTGTTCTATCTACCACGATGGACGCGTTAAACTCCAAAACTCGAAACTGTATTACCTGTTCCTTAATCGTAAGACGTTGCTGACTTTGAGTGCTAGGTAGGGTTTAATTTAATCCAACCAAACGCTCTACATTTGAATTCCCAAATGTAGTTGACTGCTTAATGCGGGCATTCAGTTCAAAGTCTCCACAACAGACCATTTTTACGAGCTTATCTTTAAAATCTCAATTTAGGGGAGTCGGGATAGGATTTTATACAATTGCTTAACTATTTGTCATACTGACAAGTGTTTTAAAAATCTTGTGCCGATGCCTGACGCAGCTGCGAGGGGTTAGGCTTATCAGTGGGTCCCTCAGACTTCTCCGCGTGTTTTCCGGTATATGAACTCCAGTTTCACCTTGCCTTGTTTGGTTCCCAAAGAAATTGATGCGTGAACTTAAGGCAATTTTTTCGAAATACAGTCCGCAATTGTGCCCTAATGGCTTCCTGTTGGCGGCTTGTGTATATTAGGCTCAAATATTCATGTACACTTTCGGTCCGTGTCTGAAAAGCTCAGCTTCAAAGGATTTCCTCGGAATATAGAAAAGGCATAGGATTGTATACCGGTGAGTTAACTCTGTATGCTTTGTAATTTCAGGCCACAATTTGTTTTCAGCTGAAGGTTCCTTACCATGACTCTAGAAGAAGCGAAATTATTTTCAACGCATATGACGCGCTGCCAATTACATTTTAATCTAGTGTTTCCAGCTTCAGTCTCAACAAACACTAACGGAAACTCCGTGCCGACATGATTGGCGTCCTTTCATATAGTTATAATAGGCATTCAGTTTCCGGGTTACATGTCAGAGAAGATGAAGCTTATTGGTGGGAGGGAGGTGCTCTGTCCTGCTGCCTAAGCTGTTGATTTCCTCAACACATTGTTCGCAACCGAATTCCTGTTTCATTATAAGACGCGTTGGTTGCATACTCATTTTTAGCGACGCAACAAAAGCGTCAGCATGGATTTTGGATTAAGGTGCACTGCCGATTCGCTGTGCTCTGAGTCACAATCATCCTCAATAAAATTGCCAGTAAGTAGTAGTCCCGGGACCACAAATGCCATTCATGAGTCAGCGCATTCAAACAAACTTTTTGAACATTATCTCATGGACTCGTAGTTAACAGTAAAATTCTTTTCGGTTTTGCCATGCATGCTGATTGGCCAGCATCGATGTATAAACCCATCAAAACCGTTATCCATTTTGGGGAATTCGCAGACTCGGGAAACTGAACCCAGAATAAGATGCATCCGATAGTTTGCTAAAAAAAACTTAATCAATCAGTGAATTTAGCGTTTGTCATTCGGAAAACCATGTTAATTCACAATAAACGACTTAATTCTATCCTGCATCTGACCCACATTTGAATTTTCCTATTTCAGGCTAGGCAGATGTGTGTTCCACCTTCCATACTCCCCAGAGGGTTGGGATCAGATTGTTGTGTTTGAAGTCCTCGCTGCTGGCCCATCAAAACATGCAGTGATTTCAGAAAAAGTTCTTAGGGGAACTTATAATTTTTAACCAAGTTTTTTTCATGCCTTTTTGACACGTTACTATGCTTGTTTTGACTTCCCTAAGAGTTATGTTTCCCAGGTGCACACGAATTTCACCTAACGATCAGGCTCTACGGTTCACGATGAGATACCCGCATTTTTGGTCGCGATCTAGACAGGTGTGTAAAAATGGTAAGCGGGAAACAGATGTATAGGGCTGAGAAAAAAGACATGGCCGACGTAATAAGAGTTTTATTTGTCTGACTTTTCGCCTCCACACTAGACTGATCATTAGTAACTGCACCAGACATCAGCAGAAACATGACACTCACCGGTTACTTCTACATTGAAAACGTGCATAATAATATTCATGCTTTAACTGCCATGACAGAAAATCACGTCTTTTCTGATTTTTGTACTTAAAAGACGGGTAGAATTCGGTTTACAAAAACTTTTTCAACGCCCGGATAATTTTTAAATCCTACCTGCCGTTATACTTAGATTCAGGTTTCCTAAACTACAAGCTGTACATTTTCCGTGCACGGAAACTCATGTATTTCTATCCGCTACTAAGAGGAGATCATATGAGTCATATATAAGGCATATGAGACATATTGCAAACTCTGGAAGCGGCAGTTGTATGGCCGGAGACACGATGTTTTATGAACGGGCATTCAATGGTCTTAAATAATTTAATTAAAATAAACTTAATTATAACCGGATTACACCATTTATTGAAGTATACAATTTTGAGAGGACGTAATCTTCTACCGCAGGAGCAAACGACTGAATATTCTATGCATTTATTCTGTGAAATAGGATTGAATTTATAAGGGCATCGAATTTAAATGAGAAAAATTCTTACTATATAAGAAATAATTTTTCGGTGGAGGGGCGCTCATCGGTCGATTATGCAGAACTCACTCGTCTCGGTGCGCCTTCCAAGCTCTCCCTCGAACCCAATCAGCAGCCTCACAGCGGCACATAATATAGGCAGAACTTTATAACCGACAAAGAAAACAGAGACTGAAATAGTCATTTCTGGTTTATTAGACATCGTCAGCCAGTCACGCCGAACCTCGAAGTTTTGAACACCTGAAGCTCCGACGAATCTAACCACTCAGCCACGGGCTCGTTGTCCTGTCGGTTTCGATGTGGAATATACAATGGTGGAGGGGCGCACACCGATCGGCCCTCCAATGAAATACAAAAGGTTCCTTGGCTTTCCTTTCAGCAGGTCAGACCAGAGGACCCTAACCTATTTGAGTTAAGATGACAGCGATCGCAGAAAACCACAAAGACGAAGGAATGTTAGGGGGCGGGGTAGTTGACGTTTTGGGAACTCTTAAACAGTTTGACCGCGGATGGTGGGTGCCAGTATGCTGTGGTGGATCTAATAGCGTCCATCCTCTTAAGTTTCACATTTCCTGTCATGCTGATGGGCGCCTACCGTGATGGGCATCGCGGGATCCGCATCGCCTACAGGACCGATGGGCATTATCTCAACAGCCGGCGAATGCAGGCCCCGACGCGTCTCCCCGCACCTAGTATCCAGGATCTGCTCTTCGATGACAACTGCGCACTCGATACTACGACCGAAACAGACATGCGACGGAGCATAGATCTCTTTGCCTCTGGCTGCGCCAAATTCAGACTGACCTTCAATAGGGACAAAACGGTGGTCATGCAACAACAGCCACCGACCGCTGTATACAGTGTCCGTCACATCCACGTCAACGGCACCGAAATGCAGACTGTGGACAACTTCGCCTTCACAGGCGTTACAATGTCACGGTGTATCAGAATGGACAGTTAAGTGGCTTATCGGATCTCCAAAGCCATCCAATCTTTCGGTTGATGTAGAACGTCGTGTGGAATCGCCAGGGTCTTCAAATGAACACCAAACTGAAGGTGTACAACGCCGTCGCCCTGACGAAACTTCTTCAGGATGTTGAGACCTGGATAGTCAACTCCAGCTATGTCAGGAGGCTCAACCACTTCCACCTTAGTTGCCTCGGCAGAAAACTGAATATGAGACGGCAAGACAGGATCCCGGACACGAAAGTACTCGAAAGGGACAATTGGAATTACGCTGGAGTGGTCATCTCGTGGAAATATAAAATGCAGGTCTGCCGAGACAATTTTGCTACGGAACTGTTACTTCGGTTACTCTACAACAGCAAGGACAAAAAAGATGTTTCAGGAAAACTGCAGAGAACTCTGCAAAGCGGCTGCAGATCAATTCGGAGACCTGAGGATATCTGGCCCAGAATAGACTGGTCTGAAGAAGAGAAATGAAGACCGGCGCGACCATCTTAAAATCCAACCGGATCGTTGTCAAAGTCAAAAGTGAGGCTCGCACCGGCCCCGACTCCTCAATGTCAACAGCCGTCTCCAACAGTCCTCCGTTGCCAACGCATATTCAGCGGACGTATCAGCATCTAAGGGCACCTACGGAAGCAATACACTAACAACCCGGCAACATCAACTTCTCCTCCTACGAACAAACTTAAGATCACCCCTGCCGAAACCCCGCACTCGTATAAGCGAGGGAACTTTCATGGCATTCGGACTTTTATTATCTGAAAATCGAGGATGTGCTGTCGAGGTAGACCCAAGGATGCCTGAAATTTCTTGTATGGTCAGATGGCACCTGGCCATTGTATCGGAATCTTCATCAGCTCAGGAAACTATTTCATCCCAGTCAAAAGCAACCCGATCTCCAATGCCCATGTAACTTCCGTTTTGCTGCTTCCGTATCTTGCCAACGCTGGACCGAACGGTAGTTTTTTTCCTATCAACAATTAAGTAGGCAACTAGGACTGAAATCACTGTCTAATGAAGTCTGTTCATATCAAACTGTTGGGAATGGAAGTAGACAAATTCCATTTCACTCAAGTTTCTAGAGTCATTTGGCAAAAGGGGAGCATTGCACGTGGAACAAACCTCGCGGTTGATCAATGACTTTCCACGAAGTTCCAATGGCGTTGGCCACCGAGCAGTTGTAAAACCCACCAACTGCTGAGTTGGGAGGCAGCAGCGGCACTTTCAGGCTCCAGCCGAACTCTGTTCTCCGCAAAGAGATTGGTGTGTCTGATGTCCTAGCGCTGCCATCACCGGCTCCAAAAAGCACCATCGTCGTCTTGCCTCCCGCTGCGTGCAGACGAAGTTCGAGGGAGCCGAGGTTCGGAATGGGAAGACCAGAAACCTCGCAGAGGAGGTAACTTACACTGGACTCCCCGAAAGACTTGAGCACAGTCAGGTTTATATGAGGCTTGACTAAAACACAAGGGACAACTTGAGAAATTTACTGACAGCGATCTGGATGTTGGGCGGATGAGTGTTATGTCAGGTACAGTAGGAGGACTAACTCAAGAAATGTCAACCAAAATTTCGAAATGCGTTCTCGTTTCGAAAAGATAAATTAAGTAGTGTTGTAAAACTAATCGTGATGCAGCATAAATCTATAATGATCCAGTTACCTCAGGGTGTCGGCTTTTGAAAGAACTTATGTTCGGCTGCATGCAAGGTCCATACTCTGCAAAAATGACTACTTAAGTAGTATGCAATGTTCTCATTGATTTTCGATGCCCTTGAAAATTCAATTATATTTCATGGAAAACATGCATAAAAATATTCATTCTTTTACTTATTCAGTAGAAAATCACGTCTTCTTTCAATTTCATACTCAAACAAAGAGTATAATTCGATTTTAAAGAAGTTTCTAATTGTGAGATTTGTTAATACCGTTAAATGGCCGTTCATGAAAAGTCATGTATCTGCATTGTGACATGGCGACCGTAAACCGCCATTAAATAAGTTTACTAGCCACCGCTGCCTTGTGGTTAGGCCTTTAAGCCAAAGCGCTAGAGGAGACAACCTCGAACAAACAATCCCAGCGGCTGTTGGGGACCCGCCCGTATTCGAAATTCCCAAGAAACCTCATGCAACATGTCCAATAACAGTACTACGACCCATGCTACGGCGTCCGCGGGAACCGACGCGCTCCGCAACCGTAGTCCAGTGGTGCGGGCGAATAGTATGCGAGCTGGACTACTCAATCGTGGAAGGACTCTCGGTATTGGATGCTGGAATGTACGAACGTTCCTGGACCCTGGTACCCAAAGTCTGACCGCACGCAGCCTTCATCAGTACAACGTGGATGTCTGCTGTCTGTCTGAGGTACGACTTCCTGACTCGGGCTCTCGTGAAATAAAGATCCCGGGAGTCGAATCCCACTTCACTCTGTACCACAGCGGCCCCCGCGATTCCTCTGGTCGACACGGTGTGGCGATCGCCTTATCAACAAGCGGAGCTTGCGCTACTTGCTTGGGAACCAGTAAATGACCGGATGGCCTACGTGCGACTGAAGGGTCACTTCACGAACATCTCCATCGTCGCTGTGTACGCACCAACTTCGGCTGCCGAACAGCGCGATAAAGAGGAGTTTTACTCTCAGTTGCAAGCACTAGTTGAAAGACTGCCTCGCCGCGATCTGCTGATTGTTGCTGGCGATTGGAATGGTCGAACTGGACCTGGCGACCCCACAACCAGTCATCTTCTTGGCCGCTTTGGGCTTGGTTCTCGATGTGAAAATGGTGAGAGATTGCTGAACTTCGCTGATCGAAACCGACTGCTTGTCACCAACACATGTTTCCAGCATCGCAAAAAACATCTGCTGACCTGGTATTCAAACGACGGTCGTACGGCCAGTCAGATTGACTACATACTAGTCAGCTCAAGGTTCCGCAGCTGGGTTCATGATAGCAGATCGATGCGTGGTGCCGAGACTGGTAACGCCCATGGGTCGGATCATGTCCTCGTCCGTACACGCCTGAAAGTTCACCTCTCATCCGCACCAAAAATTCCACATCCTAGACGCCTCAATGTCGCAAAAATCCGGCAAGCCAGCACTGCCGAGGCCCTAAGCAGAGAAATCCGGACCTGTTTTACGGCCCGAGTCGACGGAGAAGTCAGTAACCAGTGGTCGTCGCTGAAGACATCAGTCTATGGGGCAGCTGAGAAAATCCTTGGATACACCCAGCGACGCCGCAGTGACTGGATCAGCGGACGAACCCTGGAGTTGTCTGCTCAGACGGCTAGAGCCAGGTCCCGCAACGATGACCATTTCCGCCAACTTCGGAAGATGACGGCAAAATCGGCCAGGGATGACCGGAAACAATATTGGGCTGAAATAGCGACATCCATGGAACAGGCCTCGAACGTTGGTGACACTCGAAAGCTCTACCGTCTGATCCGCCAAGTTAGCGGTAAGCCCTCTACACTGAGTGACTCTGTTCGCGATGTGAACGGCAGCTTTATTGCTGACAACTCGGCCAAAGTCGAGCGCTGGCGTGAGCACTTTGAGCACCATCTCAACTTCGATACCCAACCTACATCGCTCTTGTTCTCCTCCTCAGCGGAGTTTCTTCCCTCTCCTACCTATGCAGTGCCATGCGATCCCCCTCCGAGGAAGAAGTCGCCAATGCCATACGAAAGTTGCGCAACAATAAGGCACCCGGAGAGGACGGTATACCCGCTGAAATCTTTAAGTCTTGTGTCGACACTCTGGCGCCCTGGCTCCATGAGGTGATTGAACGAGCGTGGAGAGACGAGGTTGTTCCTGATGACTGGGGCTTAGGCATCCTTGTACCTATCCTCAAGAAGGGAGATAAGACGAGATGCGAGAACTACCGCGGCATAAGTCTCATCGACGTTGCTGCGAAGATCTTCGCTATTGTCCTACTCGGACGATTCCAGGCTGTGCGTGACTCAAGGACGAGGCCCAACCAAGCCGGATTTCGTGCTGGCCGTGGATGCGCAGATCAGATATTCACACTGAGGCGCATTCTCGAATTTCGCCATAGCTACCAACAACCGACGGCCGTCTGCTTCGTTGACTTTTCCGCCGCGTTCGATTCCGTTCACCGTGAGTCCCTGTGGCGGATAATGGCGCTAGATGGTGTACCGGCCAAAATCATCGCCATGATCAAGGCCTACTATCGTTCCACTACTGCGAGAGTCCTGGTCCGTAACAATTTTTCCCAACCGTTCGGTATTCGGTCTGGCGTCCGACAGGGTTGTATACTGTCACCCATACTGTTCAACTACGCTATTGACTGGATCCTCGGGAGGGCCCTACGCGACAGTGACGGTGTTGAATTTGCACCCGGACATCGACTGACTGATCTCGACTATGCCGATGATATCGCCTTACTTGCTTCAAGTTTTGGTGATCTGCAGTCTATGGTGTCACGAGTGAACGAGGTCGCTAAATCAGTCGGTATGTCCATAAACGCTGGGAAGACCAAAGTATTCTCAAGCTGCATTCCTGACCAGGAGAAGGCACCCCTGGGGATTGATGGCTGTCAACTTGAAGAAGTGGACAGTTTTAAATACCTCGGGGCGCGGCTGCTGCCTAATGGACAGAGTAAGGACGACATTGTCTCCCGAATCGATGCTGCCCGCTGGGTTTTTTCAAGCCTTCGGAAATGCCTGTGGAACCGACGTGACCTCTCCATCGCCACTAAGATTCGCGTGTACCGTGCATCTGTCCGGTCTGTCCTTCTCTACGGTTGTGAATGCTGGGCTTTGCGTGTGGCGGATGAGCGAAAACTGGAGGTATTTGACCACCACTGCTTGAGGACCATCCTTCGAGTGAAGTTAACCGACTTCGTCTCAAATGAGATAGTCCGCGCTCGCTGCGACAACATCGCGAGGATAACTCAGGCCAGCCAAGAAAGACGACTGAGGTGGTTCGGGCATGTTCTTCGTCGTCCACCTCAGGAGCTCAGTGTTACTGCCCTCGATCCGGCACCGTTGCCCAATTGGAGGCGTCGAAGAGGGGGTCAGTTCAAAACCTGGCTCGACACTGTCCGTCAAGACATGGAGGTGGTTCTTGGACCTTCGGTATTCGGTCTCCGTCGTTGGCGAAGGGAATGGGTTGAACTGTCTAGATCTGCGGCCGCGGATCGTCACGCGTGGAGAGGTACAATTCGGGACATCATAGAGGCCGGCTAGATCAGGCATGATCGCAGCCGTATCAAGTACAAGTAAGTATGTATCTGCAGTTACGAATGTGGCTTGTAAAGTTAACAATACTGCTCAAATCCACTGCTCAATTTTATGAACTTCATATTGTCTCCTCTTAACACCGTAGAGAAATGCATGGTTTTCCGTACACGGAAAAATATACAGCTTGTAGTTTTGAAACCCTGAATGCAAGTATAACGGCAGGTCGGGTCCAAAATTGTTAACGAATTAGAAAAGTTTTTTTAAAACCGAATTAAACTCTTCTTTTAAGTATGAAAATGGAAGAAGACGTGAGTTTCTACCGAATACGTAAAATAACGAATATTTTTATGCATGTTTTCCAAGATATATAATTGAATTTTTATAGGCATCGAAAATCTACGAAAAAGTTGCATACCACTTAGGTAGTCATTTTTTGCAGATTATGGATCTTAAATGTAGCCAATATAAAGTTTTTTCGAAAGCCGACATCCTGAGGTAACTGGATCATTATAGATTTATGCTGCATCACGATTAGTTTTACAACACTACTTAATTTTCGATACGAGAACGCATTTCGAAATTTTGGTTGACATTTCACGAGTTAGCACATCTACTGTATATCTCGACTCCGACAGTGCACCCTTTCGTTTTTAACAATGTACTCTACAAGAGGCGTTCAAATTGTGGGTTTTTGCTGTTGTGCTTTTTGCATGCAAACGAATTTTCTCGAAACGTCTCTTTCATATGAGCTTCTGGTTGGTCGTTAAACGTCCCACGCACTACCGCTACCATTAGTGGTCTGATTTCCGTTAATACACGCACAGTTGTGCTGAGGAGTCTTTGAACCTGACCGGATTCCTAATCCCACTGTTCTATATGGCGAGTTAATTTTAGAGCTCCAAGTTATTAACTAAGGGGTCTTGTTAAGCCTTTTTGGTGGACATATTGGGTGATGAATTTTCAGTATTCTGAAATGTGGTCTTAACTAGAAAGGATTATATAATTGACATTGTAATACTGATTGTCAATCGGCAGCAGCTTTTGAAGGTGTCGTTATTCGACGACATGCAAAAGCTCACTTAGAAATAAATAATTATTTATGTCTTTCGAGTTATTGCCATCAATCTTCTATCCTTTAACAAACCTAAATACGTTACATACGGTAGGCGTCCTAAATCATGAAATACTGACCGAAATACTCAAATGCGTTTTTGATTCGAAAGGATTACTTAAGTAGGGCTAAAATATTAATTAGCGTGCAGCCTAATCCTAAGATAATTCAGTTACTTCACGAGGCCAGCTTTTTAACGAACTTCTATCCGGGTGCCCGAAAAGATTGCAGTCTGTAAAAACAGCGTCATAAGTAGTATGAATTTTTCTCCCTGACCCTCAACGTCCTAGCAAATGCAAATATAGTTCGCAGAACACATGCATACAATGCTTAATTTTTTGCCTATTTTGTGAAAACTTTCGTCTTCTCCAAAGTTTAAACCTGAACAAAGGGTATAAATCGGTTTTAATTTAGTCTCTAATTGTGAGGATATTTAAGATCTCGAAATGCTCGTTCATACAATATCCTGCCTCTGCATTCACTAATGTTGCTTGTAAAGCTAAAAATATGGCTCCGTTCCACGCCTCCATCTTATGAGCATTGTATCGTCTGTTCTTACGAGCGTGCAGAAGTGTACGATGTTCTATACACGGAAAATATGCAGCTCATATCTCGAAAACCTTGGATGCAGGTGTAACGGCAAGGTTGGTTTAAAATTACTCGAAAACTGGAAACGATTTTTAGAGCCGAACTGTGCTTAACCTTTAGGTATAAAATTTACAGAAGACGCAACTTTACAACAAAGAAGTTAACGAATGAACATTTATGTGCATGTTTTCTATTTAATATAGTTGCATTTATAAGGGCCTCCAAAATCAATGGGAAAAGTTCACACAATCTACGTAGTCATTTATCAAAGAGTATACGTGTCCAGACAGTCGAAATAAAGGTATTTTGAAAGCCGTCTACATAAATAGCATAATTGTTCCTCATTGACGTTTAAAATCTTTATAAATTTGGATAGATGTACATGGAGACACGCATAAAAGTCCTTATTCTTTTACTCGTTTGGCAGACAGTACCTCGTATTTAAATCTCATACTTGATATAAGGGTGTTACTAGGTTTAATACCTTTCCTGATTTCGGAATAATTTTGAACCCGACCTGCCGTTACACATACATCCAAGGTTTCTAAACTATAAGCGGCACATTTTTCGTGTACGGAAAACCACACATTTCTATACGCCAGTAAGTGGAGTTTATAAAATTGAGCAGTGGATTTGAGCCATAATGTAAAATCTACAAGCAACATTGGTAAATGCAGAGACACGATGTTTTGTAAGGGGCATTTTGTGGTCTCAACATTCTCAGAGAAGCAACTTGAAATAAAATCGGAACCTTCTTTAAAGTATTGAATTTAAAGATGACTTAATTTTCTAAAAAATGAGCAAAAGATTGAATATTTTTGTGCATCTTCTCAATGGAGTGTAATTGAATTTATAAAGGCATCAAAAATCAATTAGAAAAAATTATGCTATTTCAGTAGTAATCATTTACAGAGTGTGGCTGTCGCAGGCGGCCGGAATGAGGTTAATTCAAAAGCTTGCAACCTGAAGTAACTGCAATATTTTGGGATTATTGTTCACAGAGGTTAATGTTACAACCCTACTTAAGTAATCCTTTAGAACCGAAAGCGCACTTCAGGATTTCGGTGAACATTGTATTAGTTAGCACGTCTACCGTTCGATCGATGTCTCCTTAAAACAATGTTCTCGAAGAAAAGAATGTTTTAAGGAAAGCTTTCTCATTCATAGATAATTCAGACACGATCTGCATTTGCATTTGCGTTTAAAATTAACAAATTACAGATGTTATACTTCCCATGAAAGAAAAGTCGAATATTTTACTATATCATTAACAAAAAATCCTATAGGAATCGTAGTATTTTTAAAAAACATTGTTCTATAATGCAATCGTCATAAAAAACATTAATAAATTGACAAATTCAACGCTATTTCACCCAATATTTTGTAAACTTTAAACTTCCCAATAAAAAAATGTGTCTGACTCAAGGAGTACATTTTATTGGAATTAAAATCTAAAGATGACCCGATTGTCTACCAAGTTTTATGAGCAGGAATATTTCCTTATCTTCTGTAAAATATGTTTTAAATTATGAGGGTATCACAATCCATGTCCGAATTCGCACGATATAAGTAGATGCACCCAGTTTGATTCCTTAAGGCCGACATTTTCCCATTACTGTACTATGATGTATTTATGCTACATAATAATTAATATTACAACCCCCTTAGGTAGTCCTTTCTAAATGAAATGGAATTAAGGGAGTTCTGTTCAGATGTCTTGCGATATGTCACTTACGATATGTTTAGGAAATGCTGCTTTATAGTTACCTTGATTGACAGTTTAGCTAACTATTTTATGCACCGCAAAATTTCCAGTGGGACGCATATCTACATAAGTAGCATGTCTCTCCTTTTGCTTGTATTTGCGTATCCCGAGTACGTCCGACACGTTCTTCTGGTGAACCACACATCGGTACCAAAAAATTTTAAGCGTCCTGTCAATCAAGGTTTCTTTGTGTGAAACTCCCAAATATCTTATGTAACTTCCTTTTGGAAGACAATCAAAACTATTTCGTTTGATAGCTTGCGGATTTATTGAGCTAAAATGCTCCGGAGTAAGGCCTTGAAGTTAAGGAAAGAAACAGGAGATACTGCCCCCCCAGTAAGCTGTCAGTAGAAGGGTAGACCTTCGAAATAAGCATAAACTTCAATTGAGGCCGAAATTTAATTTGTCTCACTTGGTACAGCCAGCAGGATGCTCCGCTTGGCATGCGGGAAACCGTCCGACCTAGCAAGACACAATATTTGCAGCAGCAAATTCGGCAGACCCAAAAGATGCCCACCCCCTGCTTTTGGTTTGGTAGAAAAATCCAACCGATCGGATGGGCAAAATCTGTCTTTCAGGGTGAAATTGAGGCATAGGTGTGCCGCAGAAAGGTATCCACCGGGCGAGAGCACCTTCCGAGGCAAGATAATTTGTGGACCACTCCCGAGGGGGCATGAGAGGCCGTCTGGTCTCGTCAGTATCCAGTCAATTTGGGCCTCTGGGTGAGCGTCCACACCGCACTATGTGGAATTGAAAAGATAGACGGACTTTAATAGAATTTGCAGTCGATTTTTTGAAGACTTTCATTCACGAAAAAATATTTAAACTTGAAAAGATTTTCTTATGAAGAGCTGATTTAGAAGGTGTCAATGTTATTAAATCTATGTCGGTAATTGGTGACTGACAAATTTTTCCATTCATAAGATGGGTAGAATCCTGCACGACGAATGTAGAAATGTTCCAATACACATGTAAAGAATTAAATATTCGTCATTTATCAGAAGACTAACCACTCTCGCCGTCACTGACTGCGCCGCTGAATCATATTCCTTTTTGTCTCCAATTTTACCGAATTAGTGATCATTTGCAAGTTCTTATATATGCCTTATTTGTAGTAATTAGCTCATAATTATTGTTGTTGTTATGAATGAAGGCGAAATTTCGAGTTCCAGGTGTATGCATAAGTGAAGAAGAAGAGTCGAGCACCGGAACAATTCGTTTATTATCCTGAGCTTTCAGTCGCTGCCTACGCGGTCTCCACCAGAGAACTCGAACATCAACGCCACCGACGATATGGCATTCTCTGCCATACATCAAGGGTGTTTCAGAAGTGACCGAGCGCATTGCTGCGGAGCCAGGTGCTGGAATTGCACACCGCCCCAAAGCTACCATGCGCAGAAGGGTCATGAAAATTAAAGACCGGTTAAAACCTGAAGAGCAATCTGGAGTAGTGTATCGCATTCCGTGTCAAAATTGCCCTTGTAATTACACGGGACAGACTGGACGCATGCTCGGATCGCGCATACACGAACATAAGCTGGC